TTCCCGCTCACTGGCTGAGCGAGGCGCGGGAGCAACACCGAGGGTTGCGATCCCGTTGCTGGTCCCGGTCCGGTATGGGCGCGACACTGAGGGTTGCGGTCCATTGCCGGACACGAAAAAAGACAAAAAGGAAAAAAAAGGAAAAAAAAAAATAAAAATAAAAAATAAAATATGTCTGGAATCCAGTCCATTCTCGGTGCTGCTGCGCCCACTACCATCATCTCTTGTCTGGATTATGGCATTACTAGCTGATCTCCTGCCCTTCCTCTGTACAATTTATTCTCCACACAGCAGCAGAATGATCCTTTAATAGTTTGGTCACTCTTCTGCTCAAAACTCTCAGAGTCTTTCCAAAGCACTCAGTGTTAAAGCCAAAGTCCTCGCGATGCACGCAAAGCCAGGCATGACCCCCAGCATGATGACCTCATCTGACACCATTCTCCCTCTTTCTTACTCCACTCATGCCACAGTGGCTTCCTACATATTCCTAGGACACATCGAGCACATGGCTGACTCAGGACATTTGCACTAGTGGTTCCCTCTGCCGGGACCACTTTTCCCATCAAATATATGCATGCCTTGTTCCCTCACTTTCTTCAGGTCTCTAGCCAGCTGTCACCATCCATTAAAGCCTTCTCTGACCAAATCTTATAAAATAGCACGTTCCCCATCCTGAGTCTTACCACTTCAGAGCCACCCTCCCTGCTTTATTTCTCTCCAGGACATATAACGCCATTGACATTATTTCACTTGTGTATTTGTTCATTTTCTGTCTTCCACCTGAAATACATACACCTGAGGGCAAGTATTTTTGACTGTCCCCAGTACCTAGTGCAGTGCCTAGCTACATAGCAGGTACTTTAAAAGTAAAATAAATGCATAGACTCAGAAGTGGAATAGCTCTGTGTGAGCACTTTTGCAGAACCTGAGACCTACTGCCAAATTGCTTCCAAAAGAATGGAACCAATTTGTACTCTCACACACTAGTGGGCAGGTTATTACTATTCCCATTTTGTGAGGCAACTGAGATGCAGCGAGAGGTTTACCCGAAGTCACCCAGGACTCCTGACTCCCAGAAAATAATGTGGCAACTCAATACTGTGGAAGGAGCCACAAGGGCTTCATGGAAGAGCTTCATCTTTTGGGATGGGAATGGAAGGACAGGGAGAATTCTATCAAGTAAAAATGAGAATTATCATCATTCCAGGTGGGAGATACAGTATGGACAGAAGCTTGGAGAAAGGCAGGATCCGGGTTGACTGGGGTAGAAGGTCACTGAAGGGGTGAGAGGGAGCCTAAAGTACCAGCCAAGGAGTTTGAAATTAATTCCATGGACACTCGGGATCCAGGGAGAGTTTTGAGCAGAGGAATGATTATGAGAATTGAAGTTTTCTGCTGTCTCGGTTTGTCTCCTATCTTTCAGTTTCCATTTCTTCGTCTTTCTCTTTCTCTGTGTGTTTCTCTTAGCTGCCCTGGCCCCTCCATGACTACTAACTAAGACATTTTCCTTTTTCATGTCACAACCGTGACAGCCCATCAGGAAGTGGGAGAGAGAGGGGATGAGCCTCCCCAGAACCTCAGTGTCCCCTTATCTTACCCCCAGAGGGGTGGAGGAAACAGGACTTGGGGAGGCGATTGGGAGGGAAGTTGCCTCCTGCTCCCCCCACCCCCAGATTGACACTGAGATGCTGGCCTCCCCTCCCCCTCAGGCACTTGCACTTCTTGGGCTGGTTCTCCATGCCTAGTACCGGTCTGTGCCAGCTGGCAGCTCTCACCGGAGACTGAGGTGGCACAAATATGGGGGAGGGGGAGGAAGTGGGCAGGGGCCCAAGGGAAATAGGGGCCAGGATCTGAGGAGGTGGTAGTCAGAAGCTGGTGGCCAGTATGGGGGTCTCATGGGGTGAAGGAAAGGCTCGGCAGAAGAGCCTGGGGGCTTCCAGGGGAGTAGGGAGGGTGTCAGGCCCCCTACCCTGGTTCTCCTGCCCCTGGCAAATTCAGTCCTCTCTCCACCACCTACTTTCCTCTACATTCACCCCCTTAAGCTGCTCCTAGCTAATTCCTCTTGGTTCCTTTAAGAGCTGCCTGGGAACTGGGGCACCGGAGGGGGCTGGCAGGGTCCCCATCGCTCCCCCTGCCATGCCCGCCCCTGCTCCACCCCTTGCCCGATACAGACTCTGCAGGAAGTCTTGGACGCCTGGGTTAGGGTCTCCACTGCTGGGCTGGGGGTAAGGCTTGAACATGGTGGGGAAGGGGGACCGTGGTCCCTGGGGTGGGATGGAGGGGTGAGCTGCCAGATTCCTGGGATTAGGGACTTGGAATGTCTGTGCCAACTTCAGCGGATAACATAGGGGGTGGTCCTCCAGCCTCAGACTTGGGGAAGGGCAGCTCCAGGGACCTTGAGGGGCAAATCCTAAGGCGCAGGATGGCTGGGTCTCCTCACCCTCCACTCTCCCATCTAATTCCCCCGGGACCCTTATTTGCTAAACCCTATCAGCCACTCCCTGTCTCTCCTGTACTCAAAGACACAGGGCCCCGACAGACACCCCATCTTCCCACAGGGCGGGAAATTGAGGCTGGGCAAACCAGAGAAAATTGAATCATGTATGCCATAGCAGGAGAAATGGAGATTAGGTTGTGGAAAAGCTCTCTCTTCTTCTCCACCCCAGAGAACTGGAAACAGGAGACCTGGGTGTCGAGCTCACTCCTGCAAGTTTCTAACTGCAGCTGTGGCCACCACCTGGGACCACCAAGTCCCTGATCCCTCTTCAGGACAACTTAGCTTCTTTCTGGGAGTTTTCACTTCCATATGCCAGGCCAGGAGAGGCCCCTGGATAACCTGTCCAGATGGGTAACCTAGAATGAAGTGGGGCCATTATTTCAGAAATGTGGCTCCTTCCAGTTCTGCCACAGAGACTGGGTCTAATTCCCATAAAAGGGAAGAAGATGGAGCAGGGCCCCAGGGATATCCAATGGGGGGTGTGAAATCTTTCTGTAGTTCAACCTTCTTCCTCCTGTTGTGGTACTAATTCACTTTCCCCTAGTCCCTGCCATCTTGATCCCAAATAACTCCTTCCCCTGCTACCGTGTGTCCCAGTCCTGGAGGACAGAGCCTGAACAAACAGGTACTGTCTGAGTCCCTGAGGCCTAGGTGCTGAGGGGCAGCAAGCACGGAGAGTTAGAGAGCAGTGGGGCGGTGTGAGAGCAGCTCTGCTCAGAGTCCACTTCTGCTTTCAGCGCATGCTGGGTGCTCTTTGCCCCATCCCAGAAGGAAGTGCTCAATCACCACTCCAACCCAGACCTAAAAGGGAACCAGACTTGGCCTGTGAAACCCTCTGCCCCAGGCTGGTGCCAGCACACTCATTTCCTTCTTTTTTTTTTTTTTAAAAGATGACCGGTAAGGGGATCTTAACCCTTGACTTGGTGTTGTCAGCACCACGCTCAGCCAGTGAGCGAACCGGCCATCCCTATGTGGGATCCGAACCCGTGGCCTTGGTGTTATCAGCACCACACTCTCCCGAGTGAGCCACGGGCTGGCCCTTTTTTTTTTTTTTAAAAGATGACCGGGAAGGGGATCTTAACCCTTGACTTGGTGTTGTCAGCACCACGCTCAGCCAGTGAGCGAACCGGCCATCCCTATGTGGGATCCGAACCCGTGGCCTTGGTGTTATCAGCACCACACTCTCCCGAGTGAGCCACGGGCTGGCCCTTTTTTTTTTTTTTTGGGGGCTGGCTGAAATGGGGACCTGACCCCCCGACTTTGGTGTTATCAGCACCACACTCTCCCGAGTGAGCCACGGGCTGGCCCTTTTTTTTTTTTTTTTTGGTGGCTGGCTGACATGGGGATCTGAACCCTCGACTTTGGTGTTATCAGCACCACACTCTACTGAGTGAGCCTTCTTAAAAATGCTATTAAGTCTGAATAGGAGCCAGGCTGCTCCCAGGTAGGCTGAAAAGCTGTTCTTTTACCTATGAGAGTCAGAGATGGCAAGTGCCCTGCCCAGGATCACACAGCAAGTTATAGGCAGACAGCCTGGTCCCAGGGTTCTTGTTCCCCAGCCCCCTGGTTCCTTTTTCATTCTTCCTGCAAGCTCTTCATTTTACCACGAAGAAGCTGAGAGCCAGCAGGCACAGTAGGGAGCTCCAGTAATCGAGTTGCTTAGGATCAGGGCTGGGAGAAGACACAAAGCCCAGCTCCCAAAGCCTCCACCCAACCCTCTGCCTCCTCTATTCCTTCCCAGATGGGAAAGAACCCAGGTCAGCCTTGTACATTTTTCTATCTCTATCTAGTCTAGACCTTTGGAAAGTCCTTTCTAAAGTCTGCCCTTCATCTCTCCTCTTACAGCACAAACCTTTCCCTCCTAATAGGTCTCAGGGGACATCAGCCAAAGAAAGCTTCTGGAGAAGCCACCTTCTTAGTAAGGTGGCTTAGGAAGAAAAGGCAAAACCCGAACCTGGCAGTGGACCCCCTCCCTTGAAAGTCAGGACAATATTAACAGAAGAGGTCTTCCTGGGCTTCTTGACAGAGATCCTTTCCCTTGGCTTATTTGCATAGATGTTTGTGTGTTTATTTGCATCCTCATGGGCAAACTCAATTTGCATAGGGCCAGGCTGCCATCCAGGTGTGTCTCCCCTGTATATACATAGTTCTCAGGGAAGAGAGAAACCCAGAGAAGCTGGCCATAAAGAGGAATTGGCCCCAGCTGACCCCCTGCACCCAGATGGGGAATATCTGCACAGTGGTGCCTGCCTGAAGGTGGGCAAGGGAGCTGAGCAATGACCCAGGGCTACTGCACCCCCCGTGACTCCCCCCCATCTGGAGCCCCTCCTCCTCCACACATGTGGATCCAGGAGCCACAGAAGGTGGGGCACAGTGGGACATGGGTAGGAGGAGGAAGAATATGGGGAGATTCTAGTCCCTCCCACTTAGAGATGCGGTCGCCATGGTGACTGAGGACCAGTGAGGCGGGATGGGGTTGGGGATGGGGGTGGGTGTGTGGCAGGGACAAGGCACTGAGAGACTGAACGCCTGGCATTCCAGGGGGAGGGAAACGCAGCGGCATCCCCAAGCTCCAGGTAAGGGAGCAGGAGAGCTGACAGACAGTTCTGAAAGGAGGGGCCGGGCCATTGTCTGGCGGTGGCTCTTCCCTGAGGAGGGGGCAGACAGAGGGGTCGGGCCATTGTGTGCGATACTCAGCGCAGTCTTCCAGCACTAGTCAGACTAGAGGAGGGGACCTAGGAGACACTGGGTAAGGGGTTAGGAAGGATTAGGCTGGGCAGGTGGCAAGAAGGTTAGAAAACAGGGTGGGAGGATGCTGGGGGCATAGAGGATTGGGGACATTGTAGTGCCTACACACAGTGGGCACTCAATACATATAAGTTGATTTGACTTGCTTGTGATCATGAAAAGGGCAGATGAGGGACAGGGCAGGTGGGGCTAAGGAAGGGGAGCTGGGAAACAGATGTTTTCCGGACTGTGCTTTTCTGAGGGCTGCCCCTGAGGCCAGAAGGGAGAGGAGGCGGGGGGAACTGGACCTGCCAGGGCCATCGGTGAAGCCAGGAGTGGCTTCTTTCCTGGCTCCAGCAGCCCCTCCCTCAGTGAGGCAGGGGATTAGAAGAGACTGAGCCCCTGGGTTGGTTGAGGTTCCAAGGTAGTGTAGGGTAGGGATGGGAAGCGACCTCTCCATCTCCCTTCTCGTCCCCACCTCCACATTTAAGTCTCCACTCTGGGCAATAAAGCCTGGCAGGAAGGGGCTACTGTTTGATGTGGCTACAGGCTAAGGGGGAGGAGTCCTGGAAGGAGCTGGACACTGGCAGGGGAGAGGTTGAAGTGTTGTTGTCATGGGATGTCCCCAGCCTGGGTTCGGGCTCCCGGGCTTGTGGAGAAATGAACTGGGGAAACTCTCGGATTGCTAAGAAGATGGCACAGCCCCTATGGCCTGGTCTCTAAACATCTGACCCCTTCCCACCACCACCCACCTGACCTACTGCCTGACTCCATCCTCAGCCAAAGTACTTCCCCTTCTTGGCCCCAGTTTTCTCACTTGTACAGTGAGGGAGCGGGTGGGAACCTGTCAGCTCTGAACTTCCTTGACGCTGTAGGCAGGACCTGCTACATAATTTTTGGGGCCAAGTGTAAAATGAAAATGTAGGGCTCTTCATTTAAAATTGAGTAAGACTTTCCAGACAGCAACAGCAGAGCATTAAACCAAGCGTGGGCCCTCCTGAGCATGGGGCCATGTGTGACTGCACAGGTCATGCACCCCTGAAGCCTGCCCTGGCTGTGCGCTCTGCAGCTGCAGCAAGGGAGATGGCAGTGACACTTTGGATCTGGCTCCAGAGGCTCTGGTGTGAGGGTGCACTGCTGGGGCAGGGTGCCTTTTCTTCCCATCCAGCTCCCCATCTGTGGAACTTGACCTGGAGGCCTTTGTACAGGCAGGGGTGGTACTTGAGGGCCTTTCCTCAGGGAGGTTTCTGTTCCCTCTGAGTGAGGTTTCCATTCACCCCAGAGCTGTGGTTACTTAGCCCAGAGGAGATAGAGCTTGCTACCTCCCACCCTCCACACTCGCCTTCTGTATCCAAGTGGCTCAGAACGGAGTTTCCTAGACTGGGGCAGGAGGTGGCACCAAGGCAGTAGGGCTCTGGAGAGATGGTGCAGCTAAGGGATTAGCTTTTGAAGGAGGCAGAGACCTAGATTTAATTTTGCTTCTGCTGTGTAACCTCCCTGAGTCTCATTTTCCTTATCTGTAAAATGGGATTATGGTGGTACCTATGTGTTAAAATGGTTGGGAGGACTAAAGCCTGACAGTGCAAACTATTCACATTGGCTGGAAGGGCTGGGGGAGAGGGGGTCTAGGGCTGGGAGAAATTTGAGTCTCTAGAGGAGGAGCTGGGGCCAGGGCATTGAGTTGACCACTTCCAGAAAGGCAGGACTAGGGCATCAGGCTGGGAGGGTGGGGCTGGAACTCCCCCCACAGCTTCCTATCAGAACTCTTCCCTGTGACCCAGATAAGGAGAGACGCCCAGGGGCAGGGTAGCTTCCCAAATCTGAGCTGAGAGTTGGAGAGACACAGAAGTGGGGTCTGGGTAAGTGGGAGTTTCTCTTGCTTCTGAGAATGTGGAAGGGACCTGGCAACCAGTCTCCAGGAGAGTCTAGGGGAGTCTTAAGCACGTCTCGACAGAAACAGTTGTCAGGAGGAATATGTCTGAGACCAACCCCTGGGGAAACTGAGAGATGATGGGAGCACAGGGAGAAGAAAGAAGGCTTAAGGAGGTTCTGGCAAAGAATTCTAAGGAGTAGCCTGGGCTGTACCATCGCTCTTGTTGGTTGATGCTGTAGCAGAAGGGATGGAAGTTACACTACAGGAAGGACTTCCTGACGGTGAGGAATGTGCATTTAAGATGAAGGTGGGTTATTAATTGGAGGTGAATTAGCCCTGGGATGTCTCTGCTCTCAGCCTGCAGTCAGCTGACCTGGCTGAGTAGGCAGGAACCTACCCACTTTATAGGCCATGGAGCCCTTGGCACTCGATGCCTCATTAACCCTGCATTATGAGGTTCCCCTCGAGGCTTTGGGGAGGGGTGAACAGCCACCATTGGGGGTTGGGTGTCTCAAAAGTGTGTTCCATTAAGCATAAGCTCAGATGGGAAATTTCCTGGGTTTCCCACTGGCCTGATGCCATCATAAGAGTGACGGAGATTAGACTACAGGAGGGACTTCCTCATCTAAGTCAAGGATACAATTGTTTAATTTTTAAAGATTATGGTTTAGCTAGAAGTGGGAGTTAGACCACTGCAGGGATTTCCCAGTAGGTAGGAGTGGAGAGACCCCACCTGTGGGTAAGTGAAAGAGGAATATGAAAGATGGTGTCCTATGCCTTGCCTAGGAAGTCTTGAGCAGGAGGAGAAACCACTACTAGGCTGGTTAGACTGGATGTGACATGATACAGAGGCAGGGGAATTGCTGAAATGCCCTAGAAGGGCCTTTTCAATTTTCTGGATGGACTGAGGCAAGAGGAGGGAGAGAGAGCGAGAGAGAGAGAGAGGTGTGTCTCTTTTTTTCCCTCCCAATCTACCAACTTCCGCCCAAGCCAGGATCTGTCACAACTCGAGAGGTGGAAATTCTGGTTTCCCTGGCCCAGAGCTCCCAGTGCTGGCTTTGGCACGATGGGCACCTGGAGGGCTGCGCTCCCATTCCAGCCGGGCTGAGCCTTCTGTCCCCTGCTTCTGAGACCTGGGAACCCCCCTCCTTCTTTCTCTTGGATGGGACCCCCGCCCCAGAGTTTGGACACCAGGGTTTTCCACTGTGGCTGGTTCAAGGGTATGTGAAGTGAGATGGGTGGCTTGGGCTTGGTGATATGGGGAGAAGATTATGCAGACCCAGGGAGGCAGACAGCAGGGGCACAGAGACAAGGGAGAGACGGGGAGCTGTGGAGGCTGGGAGCCACCAGCCATCCCCTGCCCAGGCCACTGCCTGGGAAATGCTGACAGCCAACCTGGTGGGATGGACTCTAATTGCCTTCCTAGCAGAAGAGGGCCAGGTAGGCCTGAGTGTCCAAGACTCTGGGTACAGCTGGGGTTGGGGGAGAGGTTAGAGCAGGCTGACAGACCTGGTCTACTTGCCAGGTCAGTGGTAAGTATGAGGCACAAAGTGTCAACAGATCTGAAAGTGGCAGGAGAGTACAGTCTGAGGAATTTTTTTTTTTTTTTTTTGGCAGCTGGCCGGAACAGGGATTGAACCCTGGACTTTGGTGTTATCAGCACCACACTCTAACCAAGTGAGCTAACCAGACAGCCCTGGTCTGAGGAATATTTTGACTTCAGGAACCTGCTGTCCAGAAAGCCCCCTGCTCAGGGCCAGGCAACGGTTTGGGCTGTGGAAGGAGGGAAGGAAAGGAGGAAAGGCACGAAGAACTTCCCTGAGAACAAGGCGAGAAAAGGCAGAGCAGGGCTACTGGTGAAAAGAACAGAGAGGCAGGACAGGCAACACCTGGGCTCCTACCCAGAGGAGAAAGTGAGGCAACAGGCTGAAGCCTGTGATGATAATGGAAGTGAGACTCTCCGAGGGCCCTTCTAGATAGGGAACTGTCCCCTCCCCTAGCACTCCCCCCAGCCCCCCACTTCTGCCGCCTGGGGCTCTCGGATTGGCCCCCAGGGGGGATGTGGTAAGGACTGCTCACCCAGAAAGTGCCCGGATGCCTGTTTCCCCAGAACCATCTGGAGACAGCCTCTGGCTGAGCATGGCCCTCCCAGCCCTGGGCCTGGACCTCTGCAGCCTCCTGGGTCTTTTCTTCTTCCAACTGCTCCTGCTGCTGACGACAACTACTGCCGGGGCTGTTGGGCAGGGGCCCATGCCCAGGGTCAAATACTATGCAGGTAAGTGTCCGATGGCCAGAAGTATGGGGGTGGCAACACAGAGCTGGATTGGGTGGAGGAAGGAGAGAGAGGGAACGGAGGGGGGTGGAGGTGGACATGGAGAAACAGAGATATGGAGAGAGATGCCAGGGAGAAACAGGGCCTCAGAGAAACAGAGTGAGATAACCAGAAATAGAAACTCCAACCAAGAGGAAACCCGCTTGAGGCACAGCTCGAGGAAAGGGAAGAGAGGGGTCCAGGGGACCAGGGACACTACATCCACCAGTTCTCCAAAGTTGGTGATTTTTATTTCCATCCTTAATGTCATTGTCACCAAGCTGGGCACCTCAAACCCCAAACTACTTTCAAACCCCCAGGTGCCTCAAGGTCAAGGCTCATGCTAGAAGATCATCTGTGGACCTGGTGACCAGGGCACACCAGGCCTATGCCAACTGCACAATCATGCTGGGTCATACCATGTCCAGTAGTGCAGGCACAAGAACTTAGGATAGCCCTGCCAGGATATGGGCCCTGGAACCCCATAGGCACAGCTTGGCTGGTTTCTTACTGAGGCTGTGGGGTTGCTGGTCCTCTCACCTTCAGGGAGAAGATTCAGGGAGGGATGTGGACACTGTAGGAATTGTAGGAACAGGGTCTCCTGGGCATGGTTGTGTCTTTAGCATCTTTCTGGGGCAATCCAGTAAAGGAAATGTTTGTTGTCCATTGATGGAGAGGCCTCTTCTATATTGGATGCTGGTAATACAAACATGGACAAGGCTTGGCCCCTGCCTTCAAGGGGAAGCAGATGAGCAATCAGACAGTCACACTACAGGGTGGTCAATTCAGTAACTGAGGGTTTTGTACCCCTGTTCTGGGGGAGGCCTGGCCTCCAGGAAACACCCCTCCCTGAGGCCGGCCCTTCTGGCACCTTGCCACATCTTATTCCCCAACTCCTCCTCTTGGTCCTGTCTAAGATTCCCTGAGCCTGCAAAGGTAACAATTACCTGGTCAATCCTCTAATTAATGCATAAGTGCAAATGTACCAATGAGAGAGGGCTTGAGGAGCTCCTTACCCCTTGCTGATGTGCCACTGGGATAGGAACACACACACACCACCATCACCACGACCACCACACTATACCAAGGTAATAGAGAGGACCTGGGTGAGCTTCCCTCAAGCAGCTCACCTTCCCTGCCCAAAAGACAGCCAGGCATGCTCACACGGACCTTTGAAGAGAAATGCTTCCTTTCTGTTTGCAGTTATTCTAGTGGTGCAAATTTCCTGTAACAGAGAGGAGGAAGGAAGCAGGGGTGGTAGTGGGGGCAGGGAGGGGGACCCTTAAAACCCACAACTACTCTGACACACAGTCCTAGTGTTTAGCGTTCCTGCTTTTGGCTGCCAGCACCTTCCTGTCTGTCTATCTGCCTGCTGTTTCCCCTCCCAGTGGGGACCAAGTTGTTTCCCCTCACCCCCGCAGCCACCCCCGAGGCTTAGAAGAGCATCCATTGTACCTCACTTTATTTTCTGCCCCTTTGTCTTGGGTGCAGGCCACACTCCCCCAGCTGCAGGCTGTCATTGCCATCTCTGGCTGCCTCTCCTTTCTGCTGTGGGCTCAACAGGCAGAGCTCCTTTGGCTGCCAGCAGGGTGGGGTGAAGGGGGGAGCTGGTGGTTGGAAGAGTGGGTCCAGCTGCCAAGGCCTGGGGAGCACACTCTGCAAGCCCTTCCCCTTCCCCCACTGTTAGCTCAGGAGTGATCTACCTGCGCACCAACTCCTCATCACTCTCTCCTCCCCACCTCCCAACAGGGGATGAACGCAGGGCACTTAGCTTCTTCCACCATAAGGGCCTCCAGGATTTTGACACTCTGCTTCTGAGTGATGATGGAAACACTCTCTATGTGGGGGCTCGAGAAGCCATTCTGGCCTTGGATATCCAGGATCCAGGGGTCCCAAGGCTGAAGAACATGGTAAGGAGGCCAGGGATAGAGGGTGTGGACTGGGAGTGGGGAGGGGGCCAGCAGCTGCTCTGCACCTGGGCTGCCTACGTGTGAATAACAGCCCAGTGGCTGTTAACTATAATCAGCAATAATCGGCGATTCTTGTTATACGTATCTTGACAATATAACAGACAGAAAATATTATAGTGGCCTCGTTATTCACTGGTATCACGAATACTGGTTGAATAATAAATGGGTGATATGGAAATCATTGACATATGCAATAAACATTGACTCAAATTATAGCAATAAATTGATATCCACCCTCTGGCAGAAATCACCAAAGCGTCTGTTATAGTCACCCTACTAATTGGAACTACACGAAAGAAGAAGCGAGGGAGCTAGCAAGTACTGATTACCTACACAGTTTGTGTTTCTTCGTGTGTGGTCTGTTGGCCATCTGCTCATATGGGGTACAGGTTAAAAATGCAGATTTAAAAAAAAAATGCAGATTGTTGAAGGAACTGACCATTTTTAACATTTCTCACAGGAAGTGTGTGGTTTCACAACTGTTGCTGTGTGTACCATGCATTGTGTTAACTGCTTTACATATGCCACCTTGTGTCCTCCAGCAGCCTATGAAATTGATGAAGATCACTCAGTCAGTAAGCAGCTGAGCCTAGAGTTAAACTCAGGTTTGTCTGATTCCTTAGGCCATGTTCTATCATGGAGCTGTGTCCTGATGAATATCAGTATCATCAGAGTAATAGCTATGGTCACAAACTGATATTATTATTGCTCATCAGTATGTCATTAACCATGCCTGCTGGTGATTTTACACCAGAGCTGAGAAGGGAATAGCAGGTTACAGCTAGAGCTGAAGAGCTCGCTTCCCTTCCTCTCCTCCTTCCCAACTCCCCACTTTAGATATCCTGGCCAGCCAGTGACACAAAAAAGAGTGAATGTGCCTTTAAGAAGAAGAGCAATGAGGTAAGTGGAGGTAGAGGTATTGGAGCTCTGGGTAGAGAACACTGGTTTCCCTAGACCATCACTGGATGACCTCAGGTTGGGCAGGCAGTAGAGGGTGCTTGTTTGCATGATTATTGCCTCGTTATGTTCTACAAAGATATACAGGGACTGTCCCAGCATTGCCCAGCCCTTCTTCCCACTAGGAAGTGAGGGAGCAGCCATTAGGGGCCCAGGAGTTTGGGGCAAGTAGACTAGAGCCTGAATTCTGTGTCTCCCCCAGACACAGTGTTTCAACTTCATTCGTGTCCTGGTCCCGTTCAATACGACTCATCTCTATGCCTGTGGCACTTTCGCCTTCAGCCCTGCTTGTACCTTCATTGTGAGTTACCTGGCACCCAGCTCTCAGGCCCCCAAGCATCTCTTCTCACATCTACCCCCAGCCTATCCTCTGTAGCTCTGGAAAACTCTGTTCTTCCAGACTCAGAACCATCATGAACTTCCTGGCCTCAGACCAATTGCCCTCTATGTCCATTTCCCTTCCTCCCTCATGCCCCTCATTTCCCAGATATGAGACCCTGGCGTTCTGGCCCCCCAGCCTCACCCCCCCTCTAGGGACTCCAAGATTCCCACCTGTTGCCCATCTCAGAAGACAAGGTCATGGAGGGGAAAGGCCAAAGCCCCTTTGACCCCGCCCACAAGCACACAGCTGTTTTGGTGGGTAAGTATCAGGTTTCTTGGTCCATCACAACATCTGCTTTCTCTAGTCGCTCTGTGAAATATGGAATATGAGGGCTAGCCAGTTAGCTCAGTTGGTTAGAGTGCAGCCTTGTAATACCAAGGCCACGGGTTTAGATCCCCGAACCAGCCAGCCACCAAAAAAATTTTTTTTTTTTTTTTTTTTTTTAAAGATGACCGGTAAGGGGATCTCAACCCTTGGCTTGGTGTTGTCAGCACCACGCTCAGCCAGTGAGCAAACCGGCCATCCCTATATAGGATCCGAACCCGCGGCCTTGGTGTTATCAGCCCCGCACTCTACCGAGTGAGCCACGGGCCGGCCCGAAAAAAAATTTTTTTTTTTTTTTAAAGATGACCGGTAAGGGGATCTCAACCCTTGGCTTGGTGTTGTCAGCACCACGCTCAGCCAGTGAGCAAACCGGCCATCCCTATATAGGATCCGAACCCGCGGCCTTGGTGTTATCAGCCCCGCACTCTACCGAGTGAGCCACGGGCCGGCCCGAAAAAAAATTTTTTTTTTTTTTTAAAGATGACCGGTAAGGGGATCTCAACCCTTGGCTTGGTGTTGTCAGCACCACGCTCAGCCAGTGAGCAAACCGGCCATCCCTATATAGGATCCGAACCCGCGGCCTTGGTGTTATCAGCACCGCACTCTACCGAGTGAGCCACGGGCCGGCCCCAAAAAAAATTTTTTTAAAAATAAAAAAAAAAAAGAAATATGGAATAAGATAAAGTTTCCTAAAAGTCAAGGGACAGGGCCGGCCCGGTGGCGCACTGGATAGGTGCGCCGCTTGGGAAGCACGGCGCTCCCGCCCGAGGGTTCGGATCCCACATACAGACCGGTTCCTGCTCACTGGCTGAGCGAGGCGCGGGAGCAGCACCGAGGGTTGCGATCCTGTTGCCGGTCCCCGGTCCGGTACGGGGGCAACACTGAGGGTTGCGATCCGTTGCCGGACACGGAAAAAGACAAAAGACAAAAAAAAAAAAAAAAGTCAAGGGACAGAAAGAGGGAAGCCAGAAGCCTCAGAGCTTAAGATCAGAAGGGCAATCAGACACTCCAACCACCAGCTCCTGCTAAAACTGCAACAAAGGAGGTAGAGAGAGATGAATGTGGAGAGATACAGAAGCATGAGGGTTCAGGAGAGGTATCAGGCAGAGAAAAGGCCTGAGATTCAGTCATTTGTTCAACAAATGTGCACTGTGTGAACACCTCCAAGCATCACGCTGCATACTGTGGAGGTTACAAAGAAGAAACCATGGCTCTGTGCCCTTCTGAACACAAACCAATTCAGACTTTTCACCCTGGCTTCCTGGAAGAGGTGGCCTTTAGCTTTTGAGCTGGACCTTGAAAGATAGGTAGGTAAATGAGCAGGGAAGGTGTTCCAGGAAGAGAAGGGTAGGACCCAAGGTATGGAAGCAGAAAACACAGTCACCTTGCAGTATCAATGAGTGATTCTACTTGGCAAGTAGTTCAGCTGCGTGTGTGAGGGACTAGCCAGAGAAAGGCTGGAAAAGTGCCAAAACACAGAGGGCCACATAGGCTGGCCGATCCTGTGGGCAGAGGGACCTAAGAAGGATGCTCAGTGGGGGTGGTGTTGAGCTGGGCTTTGGGGCTCCTCAGGAAGGTTCAAAAGTAATGAAGGAGCCCAGAGACTGATATGGATGCTGGCACCAGTCAGAGGCAGGTCCCAGGAGGGCAGGGGAGCCCTCTGCCTGATAAGTTCTCTCCTCCCGTCTTCTCCAGATGGGATGCTCTATTCTGGCACCATGAACAATTTCCTGGGCAGTGAGCCCATCCTGATGCGCACGCTGGGATCCCAGCCTGTCCTCAAGACCGACACCTTCCTCCGCTGGCTGCATCGTAAGGACCTGAACCCAAATCAGCACGGGCTGGCCCCCTTTCCTGAGTCCCAGGGAGCTGACACTGTGAATTGCTGTTAATTCACTCAACTCTCATTGGTTGAGGGCACACTATGTGGATTACTGTTAAGCAGTGTCCTCATGAAGCTTTCACTTAACGTAAATATATTAAAGAAGTACCGGTTACTCCCCATTGCTACCCTTTGACAAGCTGTAGGGTCCGAGACAGCCTATCTCCTTGCCCCCAGAGCCGACCCAAGGGTTTTCACCAAGGGGAACCCAGGGCGTCCAGGTGCACAGTCCCTAAGCCCATCTGCCCCATCCCCGCAGCGGACGCCTCCTTCGTGGCAGCCATCCCTTCGACCCAGGTCGTCTATTTCTTCTTCGAGGAGACAGCCAGCGAGTTTGACTTCTTTGAAAAGCTCCACACATCCCGGGTGGCTCAAGTCTGCAAGGTTTGCGGCCTTGGCGGGAGGCGGGGCTGGATGTAGGGGAGCCAATGGGAAGAGGGCAGAGGCGGGACTGAGCGCTTGGGGGCCCCATGGGAGCTGGGAGAGGCGGGGCGTGGGCGGGAACAAGTGGGGCAGGAGGCACCCCCTGACTCCGCCGGTGCCCTCAGAATGACGTTGGAGGCGAAAAGCTGCTGCAGAAGAAGTGGACCACCTTCCTGAAGGCCCAGCTGCTTTGCGCCCAGCCTGGGCAGCTGCCCTTCAATGTCATCCGCCACGCGGTCCTGCTGCCCGACGATATTTCCACCGCTCCCCGCATCTATGCAGTCTTCACCTCCCAGTGGTGAGCCGCGGGGCAGGAATACGGGGATTGGATGCAGGATCTGAGGCCAGGGTGGCCTTGGCTTGTGAAGGAAGGCAGGAACTGATGTGGGAACATACTCTGTATTTCATATAAGAAGGCGTTTGATCTTCACCACCTCCCAGGAATTTAACTTACACCCTTCCTGTAGCTCGGAGAGGTTCTGGCTAGTTTATATCCTGCCTGGTTCCAAAGAAAGATGGGAAGCAGTTTACAAAAGGCAGACATTAAGATCAAAGCTAGGGATAGGGTCAACACATTAAAAATGCTTGTCCTAAGATATTGTGTAGTCTCTGGATACCAGCCACAAATTTAACTCTGAGCTTTCTAATGGCAAGGGCAAAGAGGGAAACTCCATCAGTATTATAATAAAGTCATTGTTCGGAGGCTGAGAGATATTAACTGATTTATTCAAGGTCCCACAGCTGTGGTCTGGCCTGCAGTGTTTAGGTACCTGCTGACGACGTGTCAGGCACCAAAGATATCTGGTGTAAGTGGGGTCCGGTATCCATGGGATCCAGTATCCATGGGATCCAGAACTAAGAACCTGGTGTATTCAATAGTCAGGTTGAAAAGAGTGAGAGACAGACCTTCTGTCTCCACAGACCAGGGCTGAAGGACTAGAAATAGTCTGGTAGTTAGGTTCTGGTCAGTTCTCTGAGTATCAGGAATCCAAGGGACCCAGGAGGGCTTCATGTGTAGCTAGCCTGGAGCCAGTTACGCTGCCCCTCCCATGGGTACAGCCCAGCCTAGTCAGGACAGGCAGGAGCCACCCCAGGGCCTGAGCCCCAATTAATTCTCATTAAGGATTATCATGCTTCAGATGCTAAGATGGGCCTAGAGCCAGGCCCTGGGCCAGAGTCAGGGAACTCAATGGAGCTTTCCTAGCCCTTATCACTCCAGCAAGGAGAGGGAGAGGCAGCTGGAGGCTGGTTGAGCCCTCCACACTCCTGTCCTCCTGGCATTTCTCACTGAGGGTGGGCCAGGTCTGGAGGGGGAGCTGCCTGATATGGCAGAAGAGACCACAGACAATGTCCCTTCTGGCTGTCTCTAGGCAGGTCGGTGAGACCAGGAGTTCTGCAGTTTGTGCCTTTTCTCTCACGGACATTGAGCATGTCTTTATGGGGAAGTACAAGGAATTGAACAAAGAAACTTCACGCTGGACTACTTACAGGGGCCATGAGACCTACCCCCGGCCAGGCAGTGTGAGTATCACCCCCACGCTAAGCAAAGCCCACACACACATAAACACACCTAATGTGCCTGTAAAAGCACTTATCATGGCATAGTAAATGCCCAATAAATGTTAGTGCTCCCCACCCTATCAGTCCTGTCTGCTCAGACATATACCTTGTCCAGCTGCCCACATTCCGCCGGGCACCATCCTACTCACAGAGCAGTTGCTGGATCCACCTGCCCCCCAAGGATAAGTGCACACCAAATATCTGGGTATATCACTGCGGAAACAAAGGAACATGGGCTGTGTGCCAAGGACTATGTTGGGCATCTTCATCTGCATTTTTTATTTAACTTTTTTTTTTTTATCAGAGTTATATATGTATGTGATTTAAAGAATCAGATCTATAGCCCCGAACTAGCCAGCTCCCCGAAAAACCAAAAAAAATTGATCTATAGGGTTGGTTACCCCAAACAGCCTTACTCCCTATTCTCCACTTTTCCCCAACTTCCTTCAACTCTTTTAGCTGATTCTTTTAGTATTTATCTCTAAATCTCTAAATACCATGCTACTTTTTGGTGTTTCTGTTCCAGACAGTGTCTATTGAATTCCCATTCTAGGAGGTGAGGATTTAACTGTGTTCCCCCCGCCCCCCAGTGGTGTGCTGAAGCAGGCTTGCAGAACTAGCAAGAACTGTTGTTGCACATCACCTTCCAAATTCGTGTTCATTGTAGAGGTATATACCACAGAAATTAGCAAACACTGCAAATGAGGGTCTCTACCCACTGATTTGCAGTAAGCCATCCTAAGCTGGCTTAACAACATGCTCCCGCACCCACCCCCAAGCTCCCAACATAGTTTTGTAGTAATTTTGGTTAGATCAGTATTTATATTATGACTTTTATTATTCACAGCTGAGCCGGGTAGTAAGCCATGATTACTTTTTCTTTTTTGCATATTTTTTGTTTTCCCTGGGGTCAGTAATTTTCTTGATTTTTCTACTTGCTTTGTTTTCTATTTTTTTGTTTGTTTGTTTGCAGCTTGGCTGGTAATGGGATCTGAGGCCTTGACTTTGGTGTTATAACACTGTGCTCTAACCGACTGAGCTAACTAGCCAGCCTCTAAGCTCTTCTATTTAATCTAACCCCAGACTTTTCTTGAATCATCTGACTATCTTCTGAAGACAGACCCATTAGCTATTCTAACAGTTCCATCTTCCTGGAGATCTTTCATAGCTGCTGTAGTCTAGACTGGTGGCCCTCTATATAGAGAGCACAGCTGTCATCCTGGAATCTCCCTTCCTCATCATCCTGCGGATTCCCTTGACCTCTTTCCTGTGACACATTTTGTTTTTCTTGCATCCCATGGCTGCTTCTTCCATTTTTTTTTTTTTTTTTAGCTATCTTCATAGATTATCCTCCATAGATTCTTGGAAAAGAACACATGACAGGTAAAATTTTTTGAGACCTTGAATGTCTGAAAATGTCTATATTCTACTTCCACATTTGATAGTTTGACTAGGTATATATAATTCCAGAATAGAAATAATTTTCCTTCAGATTTTGAAGGCCTTGCTCTATTGTCTTCTAGCTTCCAGTCCTGCTGTTGAAAAGTCCAAAACTATTCTTCTGATCCCTTTGACTGTATTTTTCACAGTGGAATCTAATAATGCCTTTTCTTTGTCTCTCGTGTTCAGAAATGTCATGGTGTTGTGACTCGATGGAACTCTGCTCATTTGTTGTTCTGGACGTTCAATGGAACTTCTGACTGGAAATTTAGTTCCTTTAGTGCCTTAGTTCTAAGAAGTTTTCTTGAACTATTTCTCTCTATTTTTTTTTCACTCAACAAATATTTGTGGAGGATGTGTGCTACTGTTCTAGGCACTGGGGATACAAGAGTGAGCAAAACAGACTAAAGTCCCTTCCTTCATGGGGCTTACAGTATAATGGAGTGTTTTCTTAATACTTTCTGGGTCTGCTAGACCAGTCCTCTAATTTTTTTTTTTTTTTTTTTTTTAAAGATGACCGGTAAGGGGATCTTAACCCTTGACTTGGTGTTGTCAGCACCACGCTCAGCCAGTGAGCAAACCGGCCATCCCTATATGGGATCCGAACCCGGGGCCTTGGTGTTATCAGCACTGCACTCTCCCGAGTGAGCCACGGGCAGCCCCCTCTAAATTTTTTTTTTTTTTTTTTAAACTTTTCCTATTTTCCAAGTCTTTGGTTTTGTCCTACTTTCTGGAAGAGTGCCCAGCATTGTGAGCATCTGCAAAAAAACCACTTTGCTAAGAAATGATCTTTTTCCTTCACACAATGGCAAGATGTTACTCTCAGAATCTTCTCCTGACAGTGGCGGTGGTGTGAGCGTAATTTCCCTTGTCTTCATTGAGGTAGTTATTTATACAATTCCACGCTGGAGTTAAAGTCTTTTCCCCTCTAAATTTTTTTTTTTTTTTTTTAAACTTTTCCTATTTTCCAAGTCTTTGGTTTTGTCCTACTTTCTGGAAGAGTGTCTCAACTTTATCTTCTTTTTTTTTTTTAAAGATGACCGGTAAGGGGATCTCAACCCTTGGCCTGGTGTTATCAGCACCGCACTCTACCGAGTGAGCCACGGGCCGGCCCTCAACTTTATCTTTTGATCCTTCCATCAGATTTTTCATTTCTGCTAAAATATTTAATTTCCTAGATTTTTTCAGCCTTGAATATCCTTTTCATAAAAGTGTTCTATTATAGAGAATTTCAAACGTATAAAAAGTAGATGGAATAGTATGCTGGACCCCCATATACCTACTGACCAGCTTCAGCTTACAGCTTATCCGACTTATTTCATCTATACCCAACCCACTTTCTCCCTGATTATTTTGAAGCAAATTCTGGACATCCTGTCATTTCGTCTGTATTAGTTTCCTGTGGTGGCCATATCGAATTACTTTTCATGGCTAAAAATAACAGAAATTTATTCTCTCACAGTTCTGGAGGCCAGGAGTTCGAAATCAAGGTGACGGCAAGGAAGTTTCCTTCTGTAGGCTCTGAGAGGGAATCCATTCTATGCTTTTCTCTTAGTCTGTGGTGGCTGCCAGCAATCATTGGTGTTCTTGGCTTGTAGACACATTACTCTAATCTCTGCCTTTGTTGTCTCTTTGCCTTTTCCTCTGTGTGTCCCCTGCTCTTATAAGGATACTCGTCATTAGATTTAGGGCTCACCTTAATCCAGAGTTATCTCATCTTGAGATCTTTAATGTAATTACATCTGCAAAGATTCTGTTTCCAAGTAAAGTCACATTCACAGGTTCCAGATGGACATATCTTTAGGGGGGCCACCATTCAACCCACTATATCATCCATAAATATTTTAGTATTTCTTTTTTTTTTTTTTAAAGATGACTGGTAAGGGGATCTTAAGCCTTGACTTGGTGTTGCAGTACCACATTCTCCGAAGTGAGCTAACCAGCCATCCCTGTATAGGGATCAGAACCCATGGCCTTGGTGTTATCAACACCACACTCTTCCAAGTGAGCCACGGGCCAGCCCTATATTTTAGTATTTCTAAAAGACGAGAGCTTTTTAAAAAACACAGCCAAAGTACCATTATCATAGCTAAAAAATTAATATTTCCTTAATCTGATATAGATTTAGTATTCAAATTTCTTTCTTTCATTAACACCAATTGCTAAACATAGAAACTGGATAAATTTCAATATTCATTTAGAAATTAATTTTATGATGCTGTCCTAAGTATTAAAATACAGGTTATACTTAAATCATTCAAAGTTTGGCATGTTCACACATGTGCACAAAGTATTTGATAGATATTTACACACTGGGAGACACAATTATGGTCTGACTTTGGAGTTTTGGCAGATCTGGGTTCAAATTCTGGCAAGTTTCCCTACTAGCTTTTTTTGGGTGCGTGTGATCCGAACCCTCGGGCGGGAGCGCCGCCGCGCTTCCCAAGCGGCGCACTATCCAGTGCGCCACCGGGCCGGCCCCCTTTTTTTCCTTTTTTATAAAAACATGACCGGTAAGGTGATCTTAACCCTTGACTTGGTGTTGTCAGCACCATGCTCTCTGAAGTGAGCTAACCGACCATCCCTATATAGGGATCAGAACCTGTGGCCTTAGTGTTATCAGCACCACACTCTCCCAAGTGAGCCACGGGCTGGCCCTTCAAATTTCTAATAGTATTAGATATGTCATGAGTTTTTTAAATATATAGGGCTGGCTGATTAGCTTAGTTGGTTTAGAGTGCAGCCTTATAACATCAAGCTTATAGGTTCAGATCCCTGGGCCAGCCAGCTGCCAAAAAAAAGAAAATGACACATAAAAAATATAGTTTGTTTATTTGAATCAAAGTCCATTGGACCCCCATACTGGCCAGCCAGGAAAAAAAAAAATTCAAATAAGATCTACAAATTGCAATTGTTATTTTTTTTTTTTAAAGATGACCGGTAAGGGGATCTTAACCCTTGACTTGGTGTTGTCAGCACGAGGCTCTCCCAAGTGAGCCATGGGCTGGCCCTCATATAGAGTTTTCCATAGTCTAGATCCTGATGATTGCACCTCTGTGGTGTAGTTTAAGTATTTCCTGTAAATTGTTCAGTAGTTGAATATAGAGACTTGATCAGTTTCAGGTTTGGTTTTGGGGAGCAAGATTACTTCATTGTGGTCGTGTGCTGTTCCTTCTGGATGCACGTAATGTCTGGCTGTCCTCTTTGTCCGAAGTAAGGACTTCTCTGTTCCAGAATTCAATTCTTGTTTTATGGATGAGTTATCTTCACTTATCTCCTAGGGTAGTAATAATAGTTTTCTGTGAAGTTTTCTTCTCTCTGAGTCATTTCTGTTTCCTCTTGGGTTTTCATTGTTCTTTTTATATATTTATTTATTTATTTATTTAAAATTTATTTTTATTTTTTTCTATTTGTTTTGGTTTCTTTTTTTCATGTTCATGGTCTTACCCACATATCTGGTAGTCTTTGCCTGTCTACTCATATTTAAGAGTGAGGAATGTTGAAACTGTTTGGAAGCTCTGTGCCCGTGAGTAAGGCTTGGCAATTTAGGCTCCATTATATCTCTATTGAGGATGTCTGGCTGGGCTGTTTTCTTGGGGATTTTTAATGTCAGTATCTTTAGGTCTTTTCTCTTGGACCCCCAGTCAGTTTTTCCCAGAGTAGACTCTTTTTTTTTTTTTTTTTAAAAGATGACCGGTAAGGGGATCTTAACCCTTGACTTGGTGTTGTCAGCACCGCACTCTCCCGAGTGAGCCACAGGCCGGCCCCCAGAGTAGACTCTTGTAGCCTTTTGCTTGGAAGTAGATGGTCTGACTCCTGGTGTCTGGGAGTCAGAGGGGAAGACGGCTGGATATGGAGAGAGTCTCCTTAGGTAGTATGCCTACCTGTATTTAATCTCCCTACCTCAACTGTGCCTGCTGTCCTCCATCCAGAACCCTCTGTTTTACCTTCTTCAGAGAATAAACCTCTAGTCTTGGGCTGGGATGTGGAAGGGGCAGTCACCCAGCTGTGTGGATCTTGGAGGGGATCGGCCTGCTTCTTAAACAGACTTTCTAATAATCTTCCTTGTTTAGCCTCACTTTCAGAAGTGACTGGGGCCACTAGTTCATGAACTTTAGGAATTTTGCCTTGTAAATCAATCAGATGGTTTGGGCCTTCCCCAAGGGTTGGTTTGGGAAGATTCTTCTCTCCCCCTCTCTCTGCTAAATCTTTCACTCTTTGCTTATTTACTTTCCACCTTTTAAAATGTGAATGTTTTTGCCTTCTCTCCAGATCTCCCCATCCCTGTAGATTTATGCCTTAAAAAAAATCCATTTGGGGCCGGCCCGGTGGCACACTGGATAGTGCGCCGCTTGGGAAGTGTGGCGGCAGCGCTCCCGCCCGAGGGTTCGGATCCTGCATGCAGACCGGTTCCTGCTCACTGGCTGAGCGAGGCGCGGGAGCAACACCAAGGGTTGCGATCCCGTTGCCGGTCCCCGGTCCGGTATGGGGGCAACACTGAGGGTTGCGATCTGTTGCCGGACACGGAAAAAGACAAAAAAAAAAAAAAAAAATCCATTTGGGAGGACATGAGAGTAGGTGCATGTGCTCACTGTCGCATCAAAATGAGATATAGAGGGCCGGCCCATGGCTCACTCGGGAGAGTGCGGTGCTGATAACACCAAGGCCACGGGTCTGGATCCCATATAGGGATGGCCGGTTTGCTCACTGGCTGAGCGTGGTGCTGACAACACCAAGCCAAGAGTTGAGATCCCCTTACCGGTCATCTTTTGGAAAAAAAAAAAAAAAAAATGAGATATAGATGTTATTATCTCACTTTACAGATGAAGAAGTTGAAGCTCACAGAGATAAAGTAACTTGTCTAAGGACACAGCTTGTAGGTGACAGACTTGGGGCTGGTCCTGAGACAGTGCTCTTGGGTATGGAGGACAAGGATCCTGACTAGAGATCAGGACATAAGTGTCCCAGAGCCACAGCATGCTTGTGTTGGCAGGGCCTTTAGAGAACAGCTGGTCCAACCCCCTCATTTTATGGGTGAGAAAAAGGAGGCCCAAAATGGAGAAAGGACTCCCAGAGTCATGCAGCAAGTTCATGAAAAACTGTGATGAGAAGCACTCCCTTTTATAGCACCCCTTTCTGTGACTTCCTTCATTCAGTCATTGACTCAGCAAACATTTATTGAGCGCCAACTGTGTGTCAGGTCCTGCACTATGCCTGGGACTATAGACAAGAGTAAAACATGGTCCTTGACTGCAAGCGGACTTCACCCTGCTTCCAGCTGGCTGCCAGGCGTCCTTGAGGAAGGTGCCAAGGAGGAGAACAGTAATAATAGTTAACATTTATTGAGTACTTGCTTCATGCCAAGCACTGTTCTAATTGCTTTCCATGTATTAGTGCATTTCATCCTCACAGCCAGCCTATGAGGTATGTATTGGTAATATGCCCATTTCACAGCTGAGGAACCTCGGGCATGCAATGGCTGGAATTCAAGCCAGGCAGCTCCAGAATCTGAGCTGTAACCACCATCCTGAGTTGAGGACTGCAAGGAGGGAGCGAGGCAGAGGAGAATAGAGGGAGGAGGGTGGGGAGCAGCAGTGGGTGAGATGAAGGGAAGGGCAAGCCAGCTTGATCTGTCTCCTTCCTCTTCAGTGCTCAGTGGGCCCCTCCTCCGACAAAGCCTTGACCTTCATGAAGAACCATTTCCTGATGGATGAGCAGGTGGTGGGGACGCCCCTGCTGGTGAAGTCTGGTGTGGAGTACACACAGCTTGCGGTGGAGACAGCCCAAGGCCTTGATGGGCACAGACACCTGGTCATGTACCTGGGCACCAGTGAGTAAGGGGCTCCAGAACACCCCTCAGAGGACTAGAACAGGGGCTGCACCTGGTCGAGAAGGAAAACCTTAGAGTTCATTCACTCATTCATTCATCCATTCATTCATTCAACACATGTTTACTGAGCACCTACTATGTGCCTGGCATCCTGCTAGGCTCTGAAAATACTGCGGGGAACAAAACAGTCCAATCCCTACCCTTTCTGAGCTTTGTCTGGTGAGGGAGACAGACAGGGAAGTCTTTGGTGGCCTTAGTGAGAGCTGCTTGTCTTAGGGGGAAGAGTGAGCGCGCAGAGGGGAGCTAGAAACAGCAGGTGTAGAGATCATACCTTCAGGAAGCTTGAAGGGTAAGAGAGGAATGGGAGGTGACTGGAGGAGGGTGTGGGGTCCAGCCAGGTTCTTTTCTTACAGATAGGGAAGACTGTAAGGATCCAGTAGACAGAGAGATGGTGAAGAGATGGGCAGGAAAGGAGGTAATAGGCAGGTAAAGTTGTGGGGGAGCAGGAGGCCGGAGTCCAGGCACAGGCAGAGCAACTGGCCATGGCTGGAGGAGGGACAGCACCTCCATTGGCTGGGAGTGAAGTTGTAGAAGAAGGGTGTTGGTGTGTGTGGTTGGGGGGCCAGGAAGCTGAGGGAGCTCTTATCTGAAGGCTTTTGTGTTCTGTATGTAGTAGGAGGACACAAGGTCATGAGCTGGGGGTGGCAAGGAGGTGGGAGATTTGAGGAAAGAGAGGTAGATTTGGATAGTCCTTTTGGAAAAAGCGAGAGAGTTAGTAGAGGAATGTAGCCAGATTGCCAAGCATATTCAGGGCTTGGCTGAGGTCGATGACCTTGAGCTCTAGTGGAGGAAGCCCATCAGGTTTGTCCATTCTTTCAGGCCATGTTACTAGGCACTGTATCAGCTGCTCATGTATTGGGTATGGGTAGAGAACGAAATAGACGAAAACTTGGTCCTTGTGGAGTGGGTGGAGGCAGACTGAAAGCATACCAAATAAGCAAATTACATAATAAGTTATGAGATTAGAAAATCAAGCAGAGCAGTGTGAGGGGGAATCAGGAGTGCCAGTTGGGGCCATTGCAGTTTCTAAGAGGGGGGTCAGGGTAGACTTCTTTGAGGTGCCTTTGAGTAGAGACACCTGATGGAGGGGAGGGAGGCCAGCACTGTGATTTTCTACAGAAGCATTCAGCTGCCCACTGCCCCATATCTTTGGAGAAGTGGATAGTTGAGTTTCTCCAGGGATAGAGTTTTGTCAGGCAGTTGCAAAGGAAGGACAAGGGGCCAAGGGATTTTAAGCCATTTACAAGAAAACTCTATCTCCATGGCATAGAGGGAATGAAAGTTCTGGCTGATCTGTGGCAGTGCACTAACACTTCAGAAGGAGCTTTCTAATAGATGGGGAGGCCATCTGATGCCAGAGGATTAGGTGAGGTGATTTCAGCTCTCTCTGTCTCCCCACAGCCACGGGGTCCCTCCACAAGGCTGTGGTGAATGAGCACAGCAGTGCTTATCTGGTGGAAGAGATTCAGCTGTTCCCTGACCCTGAACCTGTTCGCAATCTGCAGCTGGCTCCCACCCAGGTGGGAAGGGACCTGACCATCATGTGGCCTTCCAGTGGGTCAACCCTGGGGGCTGGTTTGGGCTGGTTCTCTGGGCCTGGGCCAGGGTGCTGGGACTTTTCTAGATGAGGCTGGGGCTCCCTGACACTCTCCATCTCTCTTCTAGGGCGCACTGTTTGTAGGCTTCTCAGGAGGTGTCTGGCGGGTGCCCCGCGCCAACTGTAGTGTCTATGAGAGCTGCGTGGACTGTATCCTTGCCCGGGACCCCCACTGCGCCTGGGACCCTGAGTCCCGAATCTGCCGCCTCCTGTCTACCCCCAACATGTGAGTGCCAGTCCTGGATGGTGGCTGAAGATGGCCTACCAGAACTCTTCTTACCCAGCTTCTGCTACTCTTCCTCTCTCCAGGGGCTTCTGACACATTCACTCCAAGAGCCCACCCCTCCTGCGGTGGCTTCCTCCAGGGATGGAGTTCTGCTGGGCAGTAGGAAGCCTCTCCACGTCCTGGGTTCCTCTCCTCTCTGTTCTGCCTGGTCTCTCCCGGTCCTCCTTCTTCCCCACTGCACTGACCTCCCTTCCTCCTTCCTCTTCCTATTTTTGTCTGTTTCAAGGGATGGTTTTTGCATTCCCTGCCCTCTCAGGAACTCCTGGAAGCAGGACATGGAACAAGGAAACCCAGAGTGGGCATGTGCCAATGGCCCCATGGGCAGGAGCCCCTGGCCTCGGAGCCGCCCGCAAATCAGTGAGTGTGGGACTAGGGGAGGCACAAAGGCTCTGGAGGACTTCAAAGCAGGGGTGGGCATTCCTACTTCCATTTCCTCCTTCAGCACCTGCCTAGCTTGACACCTGTAACACCAGAGTTGGGATGGATTTGGGTCCTGGCTGTAGAGAGGAGGGATAGGAATTCTGAGCTGAGGGCCAAGCTGGGATTCAAGATTGAGGTTGAAGTCAGTTTTGGTGTTAGAGTTGGGGTTAGATGGGCTGGAGGTTAGTTTGGGGTCCAGACTGAAGACAGAGAAGGGATGAGAGTTGAGTTTGGGAGTTGATATGGAAGTTTGAAATGAGAGTTGGGTTCCACATGTAGGTTAGAGACTCTCCTGTCTTCCTTATTCCCCCCTCTTTACCCCTTTGCCCCTTCTCCTACAGTTAAAGAAGTCCTGGCTGTCCCCAACTCCATCCTGGAGCTCCCCTGCCCCCACCTGTCAGCCCTGGCCTCTTACCGCTGGACTCATGGCACTGCAGCAGTCCCAGATGCCTCTTCCACGGTCTACAATGGCTCCCTTCTGCTGATCCTGAGGGATGGAGGTGGGGGCCTCTACCAGTGCATGGCCACCGAGAACGGCTTCTCATACCCTGTGGTCTCCTACTGGGTGGACAGCCGGGAGCAGTCCCTGGCCTTGAATCCTGAACTGGCAGGCATTCCCCGGGAGCGTGTGGAGGTCCTGCTGACCAGGGGCAATGACGGGGCTGCCCTCGCTGCCCAGCGGTCCTACTGGCCCCACTTTCTCACTGTCACTGTCCTCCTTGCCTTAGTGCTTTCAGGAGCCCTCATCATCCTCCTTGTCTCCCCGCTCGGGGCACTCCGGGCTCGGGGCAAGGTCCAGGGCTGTGGAACCCTGCCCCCCGGAGAGAAGGCCCCATTGAGCAGGGAGCAGTGCCTCCAGCCCTCCAAAGAATGCAGGACCTCTGCCAGTGATGTGGACGCTGACAACAACTGTCTGGGCACTGAGGTGGCATAAACTCTGGACACAGGCTAGGGCTGTTGGGTAGAGCAGGCACCTGGCCATGCTGGCTGGGGGCCCTGGAGCAGTGCAGCTCTGAGTAGGGTGGGAGAAGCACAAAAGCCCACCTTCCTCCCATGAGAGGAGCTACTCCTGCTGCTCTGAACCACTGATAGCGCTCAGGGGGCCTTGCACAGCAGCCTGCCTCCCCTGTGGGACTCCCTTCTACCAAACACATGGGGTCTCTGATGGGCGGCTGCCCTCGGACCTGCACCTGCGCTATGACAGGAGGACCTGGAGAGGATCCTTCAGTCCTGACCATTCCAGATACCCTCCAGAAACATACTGCTCCAGGAGACCCTCAAAAACCTGACTGTTCCAGGACCCTGTGATAATAAACACCAAACATCTAAACAACTATAGGCTAACATACCACTCCTGGAAACTTCATTCTGAAAGCAGCTGCCACCTTGGACACCAACACTCCCCTCTTCCAGGGGTCTCTAGGGTTCTGCGGAGATCTGCCCCCTCCTGCTCTCCTTATCAGCCATGTACCGCTGACTCCCAGGAAGTATTTCCTGAAGTCTGACCACATTCTTTCTTCAGTTGGGGCAGATTCTGATCCTTTCTGTCCTGGCTAGAATGGCAGGCGTAATCTGAGCCTTGTTCACTCCTTTATCCTGGCTGACCCCTTGACTTCTCTCCTCTTCCCTTCCCTTTGTTTTGGGATTCAGAAAACTGCTTGTCACAGACAGTTTATTTTTTATTAAAAAGACAAAACTTATGACTGGTGCTGTTTTTGTTGGAGCAGAGTGCTCCAGCAGAGGAGTGCTGGGATGTGAAGGGAGCAAGCAGTCCAAGGACATCAGCAGGGAGGAGGACTAGGTTGTGGGGTGATTGTTCTCTCCAACTCTACACTACTGTTCCCTGCCAGCTGCCCACCCAGAACCAGCCCCACAGCCCTTTCCTCCACTCCCGGCATTGCTAGAGATGCCTCAAACTTTGTTCTTTGGGCCAATCACTGGACTGTGTTGACCAGCCACAGCTTGTGTCTGCTAGACAGGCGACACCTCCCCCGTCATCGGCCCCCCTGCTGCAGCCTCCACGGTTGCTGTCACCGTACTTCTCACCCATACTTCTCGTGACTCCAACTCAGCCCCCTTCCCCACTGCAGCAGTTGGCTGCAACTCTTGGTAGACGAATTTATAGAAAGACCGTGCAGCCGCCCCCATCCTGGCTACATTCTTCCCAATATCTGACAAACAGCTCTGTCCACACCTCCACACCACCTTCCCCCTCTTCCTCTTATCACGAAGGCACATGTTCCTGCTCCAACCCAGGCTAACCAGTGCATTTGCCCCCTTTTCTCTATCACTGCTGGGAATTTGTTCTATAAGTTAACTGACCCCTAGCATTACCCCCACCTCACTTTCCCCACGCCCTCATCTTTAATCTCCCCTCTCCCACCTACAGGTGTGCTCAAGTGTTCTCTGTATGAAACAAAACAAAGCAAAGCAGTAACCCTGAAACTCCACTCCTTCAATCCACGCCCCAGCCATTTCCACTTGGTCTCTTTCCTGCTTCCTGCCAAACATCAGAGAGGGTTTGTTCTGGCTGCCCCCGCCCCCCCTCCAGGGTTGCCCTTGCTCTCTTTAATCCTCTGTGGTCTGGCTTCTTTCCCCACCTCTCTGTTCAAATGATTCTCTCCAAGATTACCCCTAAGCCCCTAACTGCCAAACTTGACCTTGACCTCTGTGTAACCGTCACGCCTCGGCCACCCTATTCTCACAGCTGTCTTCTATTATGGGTTCCTTTTATAAAAAAATTTAATTGTAGGGCCGGCCCTGTGGCTCACTCGGGAGAGTGCGGTGCTGATAACACCAAGGCCATGGATTCGGATCCCACATAAGGATGGCTGGTTTGCTCACTGGGTGAGCATGGTGCTGACAACACCAAGTCAAGGGTTAAGATCCCCTTACCGGTCATCTTTTTAAAAAAAAAAAATTTAATTGTAAAAAACACATACCAGAAAACTTACCCTTTTAGCTGCTTTTAACTGCACAGTTCAGTACTGTTAACTATATTCACATTGATGTGTAACAGATCTCCAGAACTTTTTTATCTTTCAAAACTGAAACTCTGTACCTGTTGACCAACAACTCTGCATTCTCCTTCCCCCAGTCCCTGGCAAGTACAATTCTATTTTTTATTTCCATGATTTTGACTACTCCAGATTCTCATATAAGTAAGAATCATATTGCATCCTTTTTTTTTTTTTTTTTTAAAAGATGACTGGTAAGGGGATCTCAACCCTTGGCTTGGTGTTGTCAGCACCACGCTCAGCCAGTGAGCAAACTGGCCATCCCTATATAGGATCCGAACCCATGGCCTTGGTGTTATCAGCACTGCACTCTACCGAGTGAGCCACGGGCCAGCCCTATATTGCATCCTGTGTGACTGGCTTATTTCACTTAGCATAAAGTCCTTCAGGTTCATTCATGTTGTAGCATGTGACAAGATATCCTCTTTTTTTTTTTGGCGGCTGGCTGGTATAGGGATCAGAACCCTTGACCTTGGTGTTATGACATGGCACTCTAACCAAGTGAGCTAACCGGCCAGCCCAGGATTTCCTTCTTTTTTAAAGCTGAATAATATGACATTGTGTATATATATACCACATTTTCTTTGTCCATTCACACACGGATGGATGTTTGGGTTGCTTCTACCTCTTGAGTATTATGAATAATGCCACAATGAACATGGGTGTGCAAATAGCTCTTCAAGATCCTGTCTACTGTGGCTTTTTTATGGGGATTATTTGGCTTCTGTAATTATTACTTTATCCCCTGCTGGCTCCTTTTCTTCCTCCCACTCCTCAATGCACTTTTACCTCAGGTTTCAGCATACCAAGCACCCTTTCCAGACTTCCTCTCTTGCAGCTCCCCTGATAACCTTTAGGCCAAGGAATGTGGGGCAGCTTGGGGCAGGTTAGGGCAGTGGAAAGGCACTGGGCCAGGATGGGGCTCCTGGAGCTTTCATCTACTGTTAATACACTTGGACAGCCTTTCCTGTCTGCACCTCGATTTCTTCACCTCTTGGATGAAAAGAATGGACAGGAAGGCCTTCCTGCTTTAAAGCATTATGGATCCCTCACTGCCAAATATACAGCTCCAGAGCCGAGCTTTCTCCTATGCTCCAGGCAGTACAAGGACAAGCCTGTCAGACATCTTTCATTCACCCAGGTGACCCAGAGGCTCCTCAAGCCATACCCCTCTCCTCCCCCTCTTTGCCTCCCCTGGCATCACTCTGGTATGTATATATCACATTTTGCTTTTCCATTCATGTGTCAATGAACACTTAGGTTGCTTCTGTAGGGAAATTTAAATTTTTCCCTGAAGTTTTAATAATTTGAGTCTTTAAAACAAATTGTTAATAGAGTAACAGGAAAAAAAGCATAATACATTTTATTATGTGTTCGCCTGTTCGTGGGAGTCATAAAAAGTATTAAAACTCAAAGGACAGCAAGGTGGTTGATGCTTAAATACTCTTTTCATTGGGGAAAGGGGAGATGGGATGTAGGAGTGAATGATTTTCAGGGGAAATGAATGAGCCCAAAGAACAATGGCCTATGACCAAGTTTCTCTGAACTCTGGGGGAGGAGGCTTCACAGGTGAAGGGAGGAGGCTTCAAGCAAAGGCTGCTTTGTCATGCGGATAATATCTCAGGTAATCTTGGAGTTGCCCTTAGAAAGAATAGATGGTAAAGAAGGGGTGGGGGTTTCAGAGAAGGCCTGGCTGTCTATTTCACCAATGCAGATTTTCTCTACAGATGTAAATCGGTCACCCAAAGGTCCATTTGCTCGCTGCTCAATAGCCGATAATTGAGAGACAAGTGTTGGTATAAGGAAAGGTAGCCTTTAATCAGGAAGCCAGTAGCCTGGAGAAATGGTGGAGTTATGTCTCAAAGTCCATCTCCACCTCTCCCAGGTTTGCCAAAGTGTTTTATAGGGGTCCGTGGTAGAAAGTTGATTCATGGTGACCAGGTGGGGACATGCAGACATGCTTGAGTATTTCAGATAATCATCAAGGGACTTCTCGGGTGGGAATTGCCCAGTGTCATACTTCGTTCTCCATGGGTTCAGTTCCTGTCATTCTCAAATAGATCAGGTTAGTAAACTAGTAAAGAATGGCCATCTGGGCCATTTTTTCTCTAATATTTTTTCTCTAATTATTTGTGTACAATGTGAGAGCAAGAGTCATTGTGTTCTGGCATTTAGCTGCAGCCTATGTAGTTTGGGTTATAGGAGAGAACAAGTTTTTATTTTTATTATTATTTATTTATTTATTGTCATTTTTGTGACCGGTAAGGGTATTGCAACCCTTGGCTTGGTGTCACCCGAACCGCACTCAGCCAGTGAGCGCACCGGCCATCCCTATATAGGATCCGAACCCGCGGCGGGAGCGCTGCTGTGCTCCCAAGCGCCGCACTCTCCCGAGTGCACCACGGGGCCGGCCCTTTATTATTATTTTTATGTATCTATTTATTTATTTTTAAAAGATGACTGGTAAGGGGATCTTAACCCTCGACTTGGTGTTGTCAGCACCACACTCTCCCAAGTGAGCTAACCGGTCATCCTTATATAGGGATCCAAACCCGTGGCCTTGGTGTTATCAGCACCACACTCTCCCAAATGAGCCACAGGCTGGCCCTAGAGAACAAGTTTTTAAATTCAAAGATTTAACAAAATGGAGTCACTTCTGTTCAGGCTGTTACAAATCTCCTCCACAAAAGGCAGCTTTTTAGCTATTCTTGTTTTTCCAGCCCCTCTGAATAGCCACATGAAGTATGTTTTGCCAAAGAAGTATATTTTGGGGTGAAATATTTTTTTGTTTCCTTTACTTCTATGTTTTAGCTATTGTGAGTAATGCTGCTATGAACATGGGTTTATGAGTATCTCCCTGAGACCCTGCTTTCAATTCTTTTGGGTATACTCCCAGAAGTGGAATTGTTGGATCATATGGTAATTCTCTGTTTAAATTTTTTGAGGAACCAACATAATGTTTTTCATAGCAGCTGCACCATTTAATATTCCCACCAACAGTGCACAAGTGTTCCAATTTCTCCACATGCTTGACAACACTTGTAGTTTTCTGATTTTTTTGACAGTAGCCATCCTAATGGGTGTGAGGTGGTATCTCATGGCAGTTTTGGTTTGTACCTCCCTGATGGTTAGTGATGTTGAACATCTTTTCTTGTGCTTATCAGTCATTTGTATATGTTCTTTGGAGAAATGTCTATTCTACTTTGCCCATTTTTAAGTCAGGTTTTTTTGTTGTTGTTGAGTTTTAGGAATTCTCTACATGGTGACAATTCCTTCTCTTAACGCTCATGCTTTGGTGTCTGGTTGCAATGTTCTTGCTTACCCTCCTACCTCTCTGGCCACTGCTTCTCAGTGTCCTTCAAGTGTTCATCTTCTCTTATCTCTCTTTAAAAAGCCCCTTTGGACAATGTCTTCCTTGACTATTGTTTCAATTCCCACCTTTTAACCAAAGATGCCATTCATTCCTTCAACAAATGTACACTCAGTACCTGCTATGGTTCAGAATCTGGCCTGGACAGCTGGGAGACACATGAATCGGGCAGGCTTCCTGCCCTCACAGGGCTTACAATCTAGCAGTAGGAAAGGACTGGCAACAATCACAGCTGGGGGTAGGTAGGGGTGTTGGGGGTATTGAAGAGGATCAGTGTATTGCTAGCTCAGGCTTCCTGTCTCCTCTCTAGCTA